GCAGTAGCGAGGAGGGTTGTGTTTCCTGCTCCTTCTGTCCCTGCTCCTTCTGTCCTGGGCTGTGTGGAAGAGGAGAGCAGAGAGCAGGCGCCTGTCACCGTTGAAAGGCCATCTTGGAGTGGCAGCTCTTTGCGTGCCCAAACTCCATCTTACAAACACTTTCAGGGAGGAATCCTCCTTCTCCTGCCCCTGGCAGCCAGGGTGTTGCTCTTTATTTCATTAATTTTGCTGGCTTTGAGCCTCTTCCTGACCTTTCGTCTCTCTCTTGCAGCTGAAATTATAGACCCTTATGTCCCTCCCGAGGGCGATGCCCGCTTGACTTCCCTATCCAAAGATGGGCTGAAGCAAAAGATGGAGAAGCTGAAGCAGACGGCTGCCTCCCAGCTATCGTATGTACCTCCTCTTTAGTTACTGCCAGGTGTGGAAGTTTTGCTGGCTTCTGTCTGTCAGTGGTGAGATAGCGTGTTTTGTTTTCTACCCACTTTTTCTGTTGGTGGTTTGTACCACTTACTTACGAGTCCCTGGTGTGAGAACGAACACAAGGCACCTGCCCTCGTGTGAGTGGATGCAGCGTGTGCTCATTTTCTTGAGGATTCTTTGGGTTTGCCGCACTAGGTCAGCTTTATGAGCTCCTAGAGGTTATATCTTAGTGAGAAGTCTCCAGTTTTTTGTTGCTCCCTCGTAAAAGCTGGGCTTGAACCAGGGCGTAAGATTGCTTGCCATCATCTGAAACACGCCAGACAGTTCTGAGTTGTTCTTCACTTGCTGCGGAACTTTTCCTGTCTTTGCAGTCTGCGAAAGATAAAAGATCATGATCCGGATTTCAGCACCAAAACCTTTCCAGAGAAGGCGCAGCAGATATTTATTGAAGCTCACAATTGCCTGGCAAAGTAAGACCCCTGACTCGTGTGGTTATGTAGGGCCTGCTTCTCCTTGCTTATATGCTCTGGGTTTTTCTTCCTTGTGCTCTGCTTTTCCTCCTTGTACCTCCTCCGCAACAAGTACTTTGTCTTCTCCTGCCCCCACCTGTGTGAGGAGGATGGGAATGAAAAGCAGGTTGTGCAGAATTCATCCTGCTGAGGAGAGGAACTGCTGCACCCCTGGTGTTCTCAGCGGATGAGGGGATGGTTGGTGCCGTTCAGAATCGCGCTGTGGGGAGATGTTTGGATGGGAAATCATGCTCCACTTCCCAGTAATAGAGCAGGTTTCAAAACCGCGTCATCCTGGGTTACAACTCCAAACATCGATAATATGTTTAGGTCCTAACTGGCTCCCAAAGGAGGTTGTTGTGTCTTCCCCTGGAGTTGCTCAACCAGCTTGTGTTCACGTTCTGATTTTGTGCTGAGACCACGGCTGAGAATTGTGCTTTTTCTGTTTCGCCAGTAGATTGTGTGTCCTCTGGGGAAGGAGGAAGCGGTGATTGAGCTTCTTTACGATACGTGTGTGCAAGTAACGGGCTGTGTTTCACTTGCAGCTTCAACAAGCAGAAGCTTCACTCCCTGGTGACAGAGCGCTGCTACCCGGTAAGTGTTTACCTGGATGTAGCACGTCCTTGATCTCTTTAGGCTCTATAAACCTGATGGTCTGTCTCATATTTTCTGGATTTAGTAAGGACAGAGCTGGGAGGGAAAGCACAGGTCGAAATGACAGCTAATGAAGAAATGCTTCCTTGTGTGTAGTAGTTTTCTTTTCGTTCGATTCATATCCTAGTTAAGTCGGTGCTTAATTGTTTCTTTGTAGGAAATGGTCCGCGGGAACAGGTACAAGACCATCCGGTGGAGCTTTGTGGAGTCGCTGGAGCCTCCGAGAGTGGTTCACGTTCGATGCGACAGCATCGTGAACCGAGGCAACCTGTACGGCCAGGTCACGGTGCGCATGCACACGCGGCAGGTACGGCCCCTCGTGCCCCTCGCGCAGCCCAACCGACTCCAACCTGCTGCCAGCCCCACATTTGGCTCTTTCTTTTTACAGATTCTGGCGATCTACGATCGCTTTGGGCGCCTGATGTACGGTGGGGAGCAGGTGCCTAAGGACGTTTTGGAGTATGTCGTGTTTGAGAGGTACCTGGTTAACCCGTACGGCACGTGGAGGATGCACGGCAAGATCGTCCCGTCGTGGGCTCCGCCGAAGGACCCCATCATTAAGGTAATGCCACCAGGAAAAGATACGGTGTCGTTAATTCTGGACAAAACTGAGCTTCCTGGAACGGGAAGGTGGTGGGTTAATCTGCAAGCAAAGGTGTTTGTTAAGGTGGCATCATCAGCCTCTAGGACCTGGAGGCTGTAGTAAGAGACTGAGGACAAAGACACATATGTGATAATTTAGGGAGTTACTGCTCCCTGCACGTAGCCTGGCAAGGTGGCGCAGGGGCTCTGTGTGACTGAAAACAGCTCCCAGAGGAGGAGGAGGTGAGAACTATGGGGTAGTACAAGGCACGGCATCCTCCTCTGTGTCCTTCCCAGTGCCGCTGCCGTCTGGTCACCTCGCTCTGCAAGGCCTTGGCGTTGCCAGAATCCCCTGCTCACCCTTTCTCCTGCTCCGTAATGTGAAGAATTCCAGTTCAGAGCTGCTCTGTGTCGTGCTGATTTTGTTCCTTGCTTTTTTTTCAGACGGTCATGCTTCCTGGCCCAACCTTGGATCCCTCACGAGAGCATGAGGAAGCGAAGTAGCAAATTCCAGAGCCTCTACGGAGGCAGCAGTGCAAGCAGCCCTGGAGGGAAGAAGTGGGAAATATCTGTGGAGGTGGCGGGTTGGATATGGCTGTGCCTTTCCAGTCGCCAAAGCAGCTCCAGACATGGACTCAGTCACTAAGAACTTGTCTTTAAAGGAGCAAGAGGGGCCTGGGAGGGGGGTTCACGTGAGCTCCGAGAAGAGCTTTACTCTTTCCGAGAAGACCTGGTGTGCTGCAACTTAACCCTCCCTGTGTTTCTGTGAAGACAAGAAGTCTGTTCTCTTCAGGACTGCTCTCTACACTCACCTCTGCGCTGAACTTGCAGAATTGTGCCCAAACACGGGATATTTGGCACTCCCTTGGGAAGTGTCGTAGACCTGGTGGGCTTGGGTTAAAACTTGCAGCAGCAGGTGCTGACACTTCTCCTGTCCTCTTTCCCCCTCTGTACTGATTCCCAGGCTTCTTTTTTTAACAGAAAAACAGGGAAGAGCAGCAAGCACACTTCAAATCGAGTTCTCCTGGGTGGGTACTGCTGTTGGACTCTGGCTTGGGAATGGCCAAGCTTCCCAAAAGGGCTGTGGCACAGCGCTGATAGTTTAATAAAATTTTTTGACTCCGAACGTCAGTGTTTGTGTCAAGCAATGCCTTCTTGAAAAGCAGCATTTCTCACAGCTCGTGGGTTTCCCTGCATTTGTTACTTGTGAAATCAGCGGTGGGATGTTGTTGGTGAGTGAGTGGCACCATCCTGTGGACATGGTGGCATTTGCATCACGTCCCCTGGTTCTGCCGGCTGCTTGCGCTGGGGAAACACGTACCCTGAGGTTAACTTTTCCCGTGGCTGGGAGTAAGCCAGTGCACTCTGCTAATTTGCTCTTGCTCTTCTTCACTCGGATAAGTATTGTTTCCTCCCAGTCACAGAGCAAAATACTTGCCAGTCATCAAAACCTTAAGTATTTTCTTTTTCAACCTTGTCTTGCTTTTTAACTCACCTGTTTTCCAGAGCTTGTGAGAGTTGAGTGCTTTTTTCTTCTTCCTTAAAGTGATTTTACAGAGTCTGCAGTGAAAGAGTTATGGCTCCATATGCCTGCAGAGTTGTTCAGTGTTTCTTGTGAATGATGTTCTGCTGAAAGTGCAAAATATCATCTTTGTGTTCTGTGGGGAGAGGAGCCAGCAGTGGAATCCCTTTCATCGTTTTGGAGATGGGAGAGGTGGCACAATCTGTCTTCCTTCCCTGACAGAACCTACTCTATGGAGCCGCCTGCCTACGCTGCGTTCCCGAGCTGAAGACAGAGTCAGTGCTCCCGCATACGCCAGCTGGGCTGGGAGTAAAATAAGTTGGTGTGAGCTGCTGGTTTGTGTCTGGTGGGACTCGGGCAGCTCACGAGCAGGTGTGGACGCGACTCCTCAACCAAGGCCTGTGTGCCCGGCTTTCACCTGCCCCCCCACCTCCATGGATGGATATTTCCTAACTCTTGTTTATTTGTATAAATAGATGCTAATTTATGCTCCCGCCGTCTTCCTTCTTGTACGTAAGAAGAAACCTTGTAAATACGCGTAGAAGCGACGCTGTGTGCGTGACCCCGCTGTGCTGTGGCCATGTTGGTGCATTTATTATTACGTTAAATTTTTTTTTTTTTTTTTCAGGGTGGTAACCTTGCTTGTGAATGTCACTTTTAAAAAAAAAGAAAAAGGTCTTATTATTTAAAGATTTAAAAAAAAAATAATAATTACTTTCTGACTACACAAAGTTCTCCAGCGCTGGCTCTGACTGAGAAGAGCGTGTTTTTTTGTTTTCTGGCGGAGTAGCCGCGCTTTTTATGGAAAGACAGCGTTGCCTTCCAGCCTGGCGGTGTGTGGCTGCCCATCTCCTTTGCCAATATTCAGCTAAACCACTTCTGTTCCTGGGCTCCCTTCACAGCCCCGTTGCCCCTCTTCCCTGAGCGTGTCGAGTATCTCACCACCACCCCCCCATAACCCAGCCACGAAGTGTGCGCTCTGTAGATAACACTTTTTATTTTCTGTATGTACACGTACTTACACGGCCGGGTGATCGTTTTTGACATTCAGCGCTGAAGACCACAGACAGCACACGACAGCAACGCCACTTTCTAAAGAGAGCGGAAGGGAGAAGCGACAAAAGAACGGCGACAAAGCCCTGAGCCGCAGCCTTGCGTGGGCATCGGAGGGAGAACCGAAACCTTCACTTCTGCTGTCTCTTATTTTTATTCTTAGGTGGAGCAGAGGGGCAAATCTGAGGAGCCCAGAGGCTTTGTTGCTTCCCAGCTGCTGCCTTTCTGACCCTACAGCCCTATCCCTTCCCTTGTGCATTTGTGAGTGGGTGGGCTGAAGGAATGGCAAGGAGATCGTCGTGCCCCCGTGGTCTCAGCATCTTCTCGGCTGTACAGGAGTCTGTTGGCATCTCTGCCTCAAAGGAATGGGTCTCGCAGGGAGAGGTTGAACTGTGGGACGACAAAAGGCATCCACCACTTCTGGAGATGGAAAAGTGAAGGCTTGTTGGTGCCGGTGGAAATGCTGATGGAAAAAAAAGTACACTCTGCTGTGATGGGTGTTTGCACATATGGTGCGAGTGAGGAAAAGAAAACAGTAACAAAGTGCTTTGAGAAGTAAGTGGCATTGTTAGTTAAGACAAACACCATTACAGCTGAGCTGCTGCAAGACTGAGAAGTGTAGCAGTGCCGTGAGGTTGCTCTGAGAGGAGGGTGGTAGTGGGAATATCCCTCTCGGCCTTTGGTGTGGGGAGGTTTCTGGGAGCAGTGGGGTGGCCTCAAGGTCGAGCGACGGGGCAGAGGCGGTGCTGAAGTTTGCGGGACCAGAGCAGAGCAGAAAGGTTTGCGTTGCCTGTGTGGAAACCCTGCGGCTGGCTCGGTGAACTCAGAGGATGTTTAAAAATGAATTACTTGGTGTCGCGGGGCTGGCTGAGACCGACAGCTCTGTGTCCCAGGCTTCATCACCCGCCTGGGCACAGAAACCGCCCGGGGTTAAAACGGAGGCCACAGCAGTGCTGGGGCAGATCAGCTGGGCGGCTGGAACTCTGGAAAGCTGTTTTCCTCCCCAGTTCCGTCGTTTCACTGCCCAAGGTTTCACTCTTCCCACTGTTTCGGTGTCCTG